TCCCGTGGCAGTAGCGTGTAAAAGGTGCGACGGCCCCGGGACATCCAACCAAAGAGTGAAATAAAAATTTAGTTTAAATAAAATGTTTATTTCATGTGTCATCTGTTTTACATCATACTTATTATAAAACCCAGGTTGTGTGTGTGTGTGTGTGTGTTCGTTTATATATTGGATCGGATTTCCTACATTTTTCAACCGATTTCAAAACTTCATTGGACTACGTAAAATTACCTTGCGGTGGTTCTGACAGCGCCAAAAATTGGAAAAACAATTGTTTTTGCACGAAATCAATTTGAAACACGATTAAGGCATTAATAAAAGAGGGACAACTCATATCGAGTTATACTTATTAAAACCTAGGTTGGTTGGTTGTTGTGTGTGTGTGTGTGTGTGTGTGTGTGTGTGTGTTCGTTTATATATGGGATCGGATTTCCTACATTTTTCAACCGATTTCAACAAAACTTCACTTTTTTTTTGGCAAGTAGTGTTTCTTATTGTCTTGCACACTTTTTTCTTTATTTTTACATTCAGAATGCTTTAAAAATTCCATTTACAAGACAATTGTTTATAATAAAATAAAAAATTCTATTCAATCCGTAGACTCATAACGATTGAAAACAATGTTTATTGTTCGAGTTTGACCAAGTCGTTAAAAAAAGAAAAAAAAAAAAAAACTAATTAAGATATGCGTGTCCGTCAACCTTAAACAATAATCTATTTTATTTTTCAGTCTTTATGATGGTCGATACTCTTATTGTTACATCCCCGGGCAACGCCGGGCTCTACTGCTAGTTTAATATATCTTCCTTTCTCACATTTCTTAGTACTAAGCCCCTACTCGGGTCTTAAGGGCCCAGGGGCATAAAATGAAGGAGTTGGTATCACCAACCCTCTGCACGTCAATGTCCCGTGGGAAAGTTAATTTAAATTGTTTTTGGCTCAAAAAGGGAAGTTAGCAGTCCTAGATCTTAAAATGGTGTTGCTGGTCATAAGCCAGATTTCCCACGGTGAATCGAAGTGATGAAAAAACGGAATGAGAAGATATGAAGTAGAAAGATTTTTAACCATATTATTTCAAATAGTAGAAAACCTTTTATAAACTTGGGAGACAAAGTTATATTTCATAAAATATACATAATTCACAGTTCACACGGTCTTCTTAGAATTAACAAAAAAATGAAATTATAAGTGATAAAATTTTAGGCAAAGAATTAAAAAATTGTTAGGTTTCATTTCAAAAGATTTTTACACAACATACTGAGCGTTTTTAAAACTTAGCCTCATATTCTCATATATACGCCAGAAATTTAGCGTCCGTAATATTACGATTTGCATTCGTTATAATGTCTGTGTGGTAAAAAAAAAGAGGTCACGGATTCATTTCAATTTATATGGGAGCACTTTAAAGTCTTACTTTGTGTCACTGTCTAAAGTATAGGTTTAGCAATCTTGTCTCAATAGCTAGCTGGAATAATTAAAATAAAAATGAGTAACGAGTTCGATCCTCACAGAGTGCTCCATAAAATTGGCCTTGTGCTACAATATCTACGCTACGATTTAGTAAATAAAATCGCTTTTTTAATTTCGATGGAATAACGTAGTACCCCTGCCTAAATGTGAATAATACGCGATTCATATTATTTTTGGTTTCTTATCTCTCATATATATATATATATATATATATATATATATATATATATATATTTCGTCTTACTGCATAAGCAGATTTCCGCATAACAAACACTGGATAATTACTTCTTAGTATGAGTTGGACAGCTCAGTAAATGAAGCTAGTTAAAAAAAAAATTAAAGACTACAAGGGAAGCAATTCAGTGTCTGGTATGCAGAAATTGCTCTACGAAATAAACTTAAGATCTAAATTTTCTTCAACTAACCATTATTACTCAGAATAGAATCTGAATTTGCGCTACTCCTTTGACACGTGGCGCAGGCATACTTTTAATAACAAAAAGTACCAACTTACTGCTCAGTCAAAAAACGAAAACAAAAAAAAATTATCTTTAAATCCGAAATTGCTATATAAATGCAATGGACATCGATTGTAGAACAACGCATTTATTTTAGACGCACGACCACTTGAACTCAACGTCACAAAAAGGTCTAAAGTTGTAGCTTCACACGTACATAAAATTTATGGTTACCTCAGGTACCAGAGAATAACCCTAATACTCATGAGAATGGGACCCTGCTTTGTATTAGAAGTGTTTAGAAAATTTTAAATAAAATTTACCATAAAAGTCAAGAAAGATTCAATTATCTTTGAAATTTAAATTTATTTACCTACCTAGGTTCGACAGTAATATGTGCCCCGCACTAGTACATACAGCTCGTGCCAAAAATTGTTTAGCTCCATCGACACTTCCCTTTTTGGGACGCTGCAGTGTATGTGGGGAGTATTTGGAGAGGGGACGCCCGAACTGGACTCGTTTCCTGCTTCCGGTTTTCTGATTAATTTTTCCCCACGGAGATTAATTACTTATAGTTGAAATATAATTTTATTTCCATTAAAAAAATAAATAAAATATTTCATTTCTTTTTTTTTTTTTTTTTTAATCATGACACTCCCAAGATTGGCAATAAAGCCACTAAGGCGCGGGGGGGGGGTTTACTGTTTGTGAAAGAATGTGAAAAAGAGAAAAAGAAACTCATTAAGAAACGAGAACAACAAAAGAATAATTAATTACATTCAAATTTTTTAAGATCAAAATTAACTGGGAAGGAAGAAGCCGGAAGACAGTTCCACAAGCAATAAGTTCGATAGAAGGAAATTTTCAGCATAGAACTTACGGTTACAATACATCTAGCCATTTCAACCGTAAAATGTGTTCAATCTAGTAATACGATCAAATTCATAAAGTCTAGGTACGACAGAGGAAAGTTCACCAGGACAATTGTCGTGAAAATATTAATAGAAAAAGATGCAGAAGCTACATTGCGGAGGTGGGAAACTGACTGAAGATGAGATGCAGGTTCTTTGAATTTATCAAGGACCTTTTTAAACATATAGCAGAATGATCAGACCAATATTCTAAGCAAGGATGAATGGTAGACTTAAATATGTAAGATAGATTCGGACGAGAAAAATTGCCTAGCACGAGACAAGAGAACCATATTTCCTAGGAGAAAATCTAGCAATTGATTCAATTCAATATAATCTCTGCTTTTCATATCAACGGAAAACGTTAACCAGAGAAGGTGCAACGAATCACTCTCCTGGAAGTTAGCATTAGCGATGCATGAAAAATAATTGAGGCATTTGTGACGCTATCACTCCCGCCATTTTAATTCTGATGCCATTGTTTGTTTGTTTTTCAATTCTAAAAAGTGATTCTCAGAATATGCGGCTAGTTGAAAGAAACAAGAGAGAATTCAGTACTTGATATGTGAAAAAGGTTTTAGAGTTCAAATTCTAAGCTAGTCCTTTGCATTCATTTTCGCAAAAATAGCCTTCTTGGGAAAAGGCATGGAACCGTTTCTTCTCCACTAACTAAAGATTACAGAGTAAATTGGACATTAACTTTGGGTCGCAATGAGTTAAAAAAAAATTCAAAACCAGTCTGAATTGGGAGAAGCACCGTCAAGCGATATTACCTTTACACACCCACAAGCTATGTGGCTACACTTACGATGAGTTATAACACTCGTGAACAATGAATAAGTGAAAATTTAAGCAGATAGTTACAGTTTTAAAACGTTGTCCACCGATCCAACTGCGCAAGAACAATGCATAGTGATAAATAACGAGATTTTATTTTCTAGGCTAGTCTTCTACTCCTCTGGCACCAGCTGGGGTAGTTTGAAATTTACTAGCTCCAGTCCCAGCGAGCCATCCTTCTAAAAAATAAATTTTCTTTTTAGAGGGGTGGGGGCATTAATTAACCTGAAGCATCCTCAAAAAAAAAAAAAAAAAAAAAATAAAACCAGGAGGGTGTGCCGAGGTGGCTTGAACAATTTTTGAACAGCTTTCCGAAATCCCACACCGGACCCTGACCATATGTTACATTCTTTTACAGCATAGGCGTCGTGCGAATCAATTTAAGAAGCGAATACCTATGCGAGGGAGCTTAAAAAAAATAAAAATAAAGCCCACGCCCCAGAAGCAATACCTTTCTCCTTCAGAAGGGGCCTGAGTTTATCGCTCGGTGCCTGAGACGGGCTTCCTCAAAAGTGGAAGTGCCGAGGGAGACGGCAATTTTCTCACGGTATTGCCGTAAAAAATCTCTTGACCTTGTGTCACATTCGGTAGCAACGGGAGCGCACTGGAAAATACCTATACTTGTCTTATATACGATACCAAATCAAATCATACCAATGAAGGCAAGATTAAATTATATTTCCTTCAATTTTGCACCGACTTCAGGTACGGTGCTTATTTATTTTGACACATTTATAATTTTCTCCGTGGCGCGATTTTGTTCCAGGAATCAAACATTCCCTGTTTATTTTATGAAGATTCCAAGACGTTGCTTGTACTTGGTACAAAAGAAAGAGTGCTGATGTACATAACGAATGTGATAACCACTACACCACGGAGATGCGACCCAGTGTGCCATGCGTGATGCACGCTTAGGCGATCATGAATCTTTCGATACATGACTGACGAGGCAGATTTTTTCCCGCAGTAGGTTGCCATTTCTTTCTGCAGTAGACCAGTTGCCATCCAATGTCTGGTCTGTCCTGCTTTACCCATAGGAGAAGAGAACCTTTCTCAATGGTATAGCACGTAAGTGAATGCAATGGATTCCTCAATTCGAGCCGCTATCCATTACGCCACCGTCTTTTTATGGTTTATCAACCCTTTGCATTAAACTCTAAAGCTAGAAAAGGACATTTTTTTTAGATTGTAAAATTTTTTGTTGCGATTATGGTTATACCTTTTCCAAGGGTATTTATTTTCGCGTAAGTGGATAACAAACCCAATGGGAATTGGAACACAGCTCTCCGATTAATAATTCTGAGTCCTTATTTATTACACTACCACCCACACATCCAAGTGGTCACCCATCTAGGTACTGACGAGCCTCAACGTTGCTTAACTTCGGTGATCGGATGAGAACCGGTGTTTCAACGTGATGTGACCGTAAGCCAGCATCCAGTGAGGATTGAACAACTTCAAAATTTAAAGAAAGACACTTAAAATTTAAACTAAAAACGTCAAACTCAAATTTAACTTTAGTTAAATTTTTATGGCTTTCTTCCGAGACAAAAGCGGTTGGCTTTTTTTTTTCCTGTTACAAAATGATCAGTTTGTTTCTGTTTGGGAGGACAGAGTGATAATGTGACAGCTAATTATAAAAGTGAATATTATTACCGTATTATATTTGCAACAAGAAAAAGTAGAAAAATGCAAAATAAGGCCTTTCCGCCTACATTTTTGGATACTCATGTAATATTGTAATTTGATTGAATTTGAATCTGTTTTATGAAAAGAGAATTTTGTAAGGAAATTTTTACACCAATTTTAACTGGCCTTTAATTTTTATAAATCTTTAAAAAAAAAAAAAAAAAAAAAAAAAAATATATCATTTGAAGACTTATCTACATATTTAATTTTTAAAAATGCCAGAGGAATCAAATCAATTGAAAATTTAAATAAAATTTCTTTTAAAGTTGTATAAAAAAATTAGTCATACTCCGATTTAGAAAAACTGTTTTATTTTGAATATTTTTTACAGTACTTTTTTCATGAATTGTCCTGTAGACGTTTTGGGGATTGTGAAAAATCGTTGAAAAATTCTCTTTAAAATTTTAGTTACATTCATTATTTAATTAAACAAGTTATCTACACTTCCCGACAATTCTGAATTATTCTTATTATTTTTTGAAATGTTTAACAAAAATTTAGAAGATGCGTTTGCCGCGATATTTTTTTTAAATAATGAAATATACTTTATTTTAATCTTGTGCGCGTGTGAAAAAAAGAAACCTGCTGATTTTTTTTTTTTTTTTTTACAAATAGATATGGTCCAAATAAAAGTTCGAACACTAGCAGCTAAGGCCTATCAATGGATTTTTGCCCCATCTTTCCTCTCTAGACGAAACCAAGTATGAAACAATCTTACTGACCTAACAAAGAAAAGAGTGATAAAAAGTTTATTATAAAGAATTAAATTTTTAAAAAAATATCCCACAAGTACAGACGATTTTAAATGGAAAATTTGGAGAGTAAAGGAGAGGAGAGCGTACAGACACGCAATTCATGTGAATGGGTATATACGCACGGGTTAAAATAGCATCACTGAAGGCCGGGGGTGCACTATCGATCAGTGTTTAAAAAGAAAGAGAAATTATGCAAAAATCGATTGTAGCAGTAACGGGTGAGGCCTCGTTTACCGCTGTCGATGTCAAATATTATTTGAAAAGAAATGTAAATCATAAATAAGACTAAGAGATAAATGTCGAGGATTTGACAAAAATACAAGACAAGATGTTTAAAGCGACTGTCTTAAAAAAAAAAAAAAAAAAAAAAAAATTTTTTTTATAATTATCATTGTTTCAATCATAGTTTTTTCGGTTGAATACGTCCCCTCCCCCTCAATCTCACGCACAGACTCCTGCAGCTGTAGTTTAAATAATTACTGACGTTTAAATTACACTTACGAGTAGTACTATTGTAACAATCATAGTTTATTATTTTTATTTTAATAAATCTGTTTTCTTTTATAAAAAATAAAATTTCCAGTTGAAATAAGTGTTGGGTAGAAGATAGAAATTACGAGTTGCCGGCATATCTCGTTATATGGGTGAGTAGAAAAAAGAATTTATCGGAAAAGTCTTTTTCTTTTTTTTTTTTTTTTAAGTGGTTGCTTAATTGAATTATTAATGACATTTTCTTTCAATTGGGGTTTGAAATTCTAACCATTTCAGACTTCATAAAAACATGATCTTTGTAATATTTTTTTTTAAATACTTAAAACTAAAACATTTTTAGTGGAACAAATCAGAGACGGACACATTTTGTCATTTGTGGTTCGTTAAACAATGTAAAAACCTTTTTAAACAGATCGTCATTGTACTGTGGGGGAAAATCCGTAAAGGTTTTATTTAAGAACAGTCGAAATGATTGTTAGTTAACAAAAACAAAAAAACAACAAAAAAAAACAAAACAAAAAGCAGCTATTTTTTTTTTTTTAAATTTGAAGATGAAGACAGACTGGCATTGTTGTGAATGCCACGCAAGGAACATAACTTTCAGAATTAGAAAGATATATTGTCTAATGTGCGGCTTTTTTATAGTTCGCAAGGTGAAAAATAAAATTTTAAAAAATTACAAAATGCAAAAGAAAACAATGTACAAAAAGATACCAAACAAAGCATTGCTTTTTCGTCGACAGATGCAGTTTTAATCTGGTTTTAAGAATTTGGGCTTGCTTTCATTTGAAATTTGGCAAATACTTCCAAACCAAGGTAATAAAGTTCTTCTAATGAATGAATGCTATTTTCGATATTTTTACTGTTTAGATTTTTTTTTTAAATCACCAAGAACAAACTGATCATTGTCAAACCCATTCAAAACCTATAGTTTTTTTAGCAAATCTCTCCCCTTTCCGACAATCAAAAATCATTTTTCCGAGGGAACTACTTAAAGTGGTCCACTAGTTTTGGGGGGTTTTTTTTCTTTTTTTTTTTTCTTTTCGTTTTTTTTTTTTTAAATTTGTTTAGTTTTTAAACTGTCTATAATTAATTTTTTCTGACCTGAAAAAGCTAAAGCACGTGACTTTGATGCTAGCTATCTTTTTTCTTTTTCAATGAAAGAATTACCATATGTAATAAAAGAATAATACGCTTCAAAATCGCAGTATTTTTAACATAGTAATAAAATAAACAGTTTTTAAAATTTTACTTACCGACAGCTTTCATATATTCATCGAAATTTTCGCTGGTTTCCAAGGTCCATTTTCCTACTAAATCAGTGGCCATGGTTAATAATAGTTAGGTCAAAAATGTATAACGGGAAATTTGTTTTAACCCCGGCAAGGATAGACTCGTGTTAGTTAAGGGATAAATATAATACTGCAACTACGTTTATAGCCGCGTGAAGTTTTATAATGATCACCCGCAAACCGGGCACTGACGATGAGGAGGGAAGGGGAAATGTCAAGCGATAAAGAAAGATGGGACTTCACAGAGACTGAGTGAGAGAAATCGTTTTAAAAATAAGCAATAAGGGAAGAAAAGAGAAGCATCGCCATGGGTGATGAAGAAAAAAAGAGAAACACAGAAAGAGAGAAAGGGTGAAAGAATGAATAAAAAATAGAGTGATTAATAATGATAAAAAGAGGGCCAAAGTGCGAAAACTGAGATTGTGCGTAAAAAAGGAGGGGAGAAAAAAAAGAGTAAGAACTGCAAGATGGGATGAGAGAGAAAATGCAAATGAGAAGAAAGGACAAGATAAAAAAGAAAAGGATGATGTTACATTTTTTTTAAATTTGTGGCGGTGGGGACAACGGAGATAAGCAGTGGGGGGACTAGAAAAGTAAGTAGTCCTGTACTTTTCATAAATTGAATCGTTTTTATTCTATGGATGCTCATAAGTAATACTATTTTAATTTCGTTCTACTGTACATTTGATCATTTTTTTTTAATCAGTTCACCCAAGCAAGGCGATAATGCCGTTAAAACGAAAGGGTCTGAAAGAAAATGGAAAAAAACTTTAGAAGGAACCGGAAACCCACTCTTAAACAGGAAAACAAAGGATAAACCTTTAACTCTTGTTCAAGAGGTTTAGGGAGGAGTGTGAACTGGTTATTTTATTTAATCCTATTTTTATTTGAAATAAGAGAGCACCAAATTTTATTATGGTGGGCTCAAAGCAATAAATGATACTCATTTAACTCATGATTGAAATATGATTATTAAAAATCTATGAAAATTCAGAATTTGTTTTATTTTTTCACTGAAACTTTAACTGTATTGAGAAAAAAGTCTTTATTAAAAGTCATCTTTTTGTTTTACGTACACCCGTAACATAAATTTGAAGCCTGGTAGGTAGGGTGAAAAAAAATTGTTTATTAAAAACTTAAAACACAAAAAAAAGGTCTGAAATTGAAAAGAATGGAAAGAGGACGTGAGTTAAAAATAAAGAACAAGAGAGAAAATAGAAGAAAAACGGTATAAAGATATAAGAAATGTAATAAAAGGAAGAAAAGGGGTTCAAAGACGAAATTTTTAAAGTGAAAAAGGACTTCAAAAAGGTATACAAAGAAAAAAAAGCAAAAAAGGATAATTGAACTTTGACATCTTTATCTTCCTCCTCCAATAAAGCCACGCCTCTCTGATCACGTGATTTCCATACCAAAATGGCGCTCTATTGAAAAAAAGAGTGTTTTGTGTGTTACGTGTAAAATTTTGTAAGTCGCTGTCGAAGGGTCCAACATCAAATTGTTTTCCCCTGGCCTACCCACTGCCCAAGGTAGGATTACCAATTCCAAACGTCTCCAAATAATTATTAAAGTATGTCGGTAAATCAGACGAGGTACTTAAATTGAAATCGTCCTTCCTCGTTATAATGAGAAAAAAAAAATCATTAATTACGATTTATTTTTTGCAGCATTAACAGCTTTTTCAAGACAGAAAAATATGACACTAACAATGAGGAATAAGTAAGAAAATTCTTAATGATACTGAACTTGACTTTAATAGCGAAGAAGCGTTAACAAACTGAACTCTTCAATATTATTAACTTCGATTCAGTTCACTATCATTATTTTATATTACAACTAATGTACAATTTCCCTCTTGTTCAAAGAAAGTAAGTTTTTGTGGGGTAACTTATTTAGACAGAGAAAAATAATAAAACAGCAATTTACAGGTTTCAGTTTCTGTTTAGTTTTTTACATGTCGCTTTTGAATACAATCCTAACGGAATTTTACCTACTTATACGTAATTGAATTTTGAACTATAAACCGGCACCTCACAGATCACCAGAAAAATGTTAATTCCTGGAGTTTGCAGGTGGCAAGAGAAAAAAAATATTTTTTAGTTAGTCTCGGTTAAAAATTGAAACTTTTTAGATGTATTGTCAAGATTAGCTTTTCTGCATGCCGATAAGTTATTCCCCTTACATTCCATTTAAGTTTTTGT